CCTGGCCCAGTTCTGTTCTGGTATTGCTACTCCTATAACGTGGCCTTTTCTACTCCCTGTATCTCCCACAGGTGCTGTTTTTACAGCACTGTGGGCTGGCCTGTTCTTTGTGTGTGTGAGTGTGCAGGTCCGAGTGCATGACACCCAGCAGCCGACCTCAAGTACTGTTCCTCGGGAGCTAGGCCCCTTAGTTTTTTGAGACAGTGTATCTCGGGGACACCCGGGGTTTGTTGAGTGCTAAGCTAGGCAGATTGGCCAGAGAACCCCATGAATCTGCTCATTTCTGTGCCCCTCCCCAAGTGCTGGGATTTCAAGTATGTACCACCATGCCTGGCTTTTTAATGTATCTTCTAAGACTCGAACTCAGGTCTCCCATGTCCTCTTTTATGTGAGCTATTTTTAGTGTGCACTTCCTGTGGAGTCTCCCCTAAGCTCCGGAGTGTCCCTGAGGACAAGGATGGTACCTGCTTATTTCTGTGTCCCTTCAGCTTCCTAGAAACTTAATAAATATTTATTGACCAGCTTATTATTATTTTTTTTGTCTCCTTCATAACAGAAACCAGGCCTGTTTGTTTACTTGGTCAATGTTTAGCCTGCCGTGGGAGCTAATTTGGGTTTCAAAAGTACACCGAAGACAGGAGGTTCTTCCATTTTTTTGTGCTAAGTACTTCTGTAGCCTTTGAAATTCCACAGTATCTGTGGGCTCATGTATTGTTCATAATAAAAAGGACCTCAATTCTATTGGTCATAGGAGTGACAGTTGAGGGGGATATGATGAGCTTTGGGGGCTGAGGTATTTACCACGTCTCTGGGCCTTCCAAAAGGACGTCACAGCCCTGTCCCTTTCATAAGTGTATTTAAGAAGACGATAGAAACTTGGGAGCCTACATTAGGAATTTCCTGTGGGCTTTAATGGGGTTGTTTTTTAACTGCTTGGAGTCCTTGCAGTATTATTTCAGCTGTGAACCAAATTTAGTTTTGAGACACCCTTCATCCCTGCTCCGCGGCCCTAGAAAATAATTCACTGTACTTTGTCCCCTCATCCTTCTCTAAGCTGGGGGTCTGCTGTGTGTATCTTGGTACCCAAGGGAGAGAAGGCCACACCCTTCTACCCCCTAAAGTTGTAATTTGAAATGGTTTTTCCACTTGTCCTGCTTTAAATAATGAAGGTTTTAAAACCTCTTTTTTTTCCTAAATATTAACTTTTTTCAAAGGAAGGATATTTTGGGGTTTAGAATTCCTTTTTCAAGTCTTTCATGGTTCTCTGGGTCTGTAACTCAACCTTCACAGTATCCCATGGGTCAGTTTAGTGACTAAGAAAACCACCTCAAGGCAGTGTGGTTGCTTCGTAGTGTGGAGACAGACCTCTTCACAAAATCTTTGCCATTGGTTGTGTTCTGGGTCCAGGGGCCAGTGTGACCATTCCATGTCTCTAGGAAGGCTGGAGTTAGACTTGCATGGGGTGAGATTCTGGAGGTAACAGCCAGATCCACCAGCATCCCCGGCCTCTCAGTTCTGGCTTGGGTGCTGTAGGTGTGTAGAGACAAAGGCTGGCCTGCCCAGAGCCAGGTGGGTGTACTGCAGCCCTCAAGCGCCTCCAGAGCTGGCCCTGAGCCAGGCATCCCTGTGTCTTCCACGGCTCTCCCGAACTTGTACCCAGAGGAGCTTCTAGAATCCAAAAGAATCCAGGCATCTCCCCCAACAGGACCTCGGTTCGGTTTCTTGGCCACTCTTGTGTCTCCTGGTTGTGACACTTCCTTGTGGTAGAAAGTAGTTGGTGTTTCTAGTGGGATCTACGGGCAGGTGATGTGGGTTCTCCGTCCTATGTATTTAGTACATTAGTCCTGGGCTAGCCTGCCAAATTCTAGCCATTGCTTTCTTGTTAGGACAAGAATGCTCTCAGCCTTGTAGGTGGAACGTTGTAACCTGACCTGGTGTGCTAGGAGGGTGGTATTAGCTTAGAGGGGGCAGTACCACCTTCAGCCTTTGCGGGGGCAGTACCACCTTCAGCCTGGGGGTGCAGTTACCACTTTCAGCCTTGGGGGGCAGTACCACTTTCAGCCTGCGGGGTGCAGTACCACCTTCAGCCTGGGGGTGCAGTACCACTTTCAGCCTGGGGGTGCAGTACCTCTTTCAGCCTTGGGGGGGCAGTACCACTTTCAGCCTGCGGGGTGCAGTACCACCTTCAGCCTGGGGGGGCAGTACCACTTTCAGCCTGCGGGGTGCAGTACCACTTTCAGCCTTAGGGGTGCAGTACCACCGTCAGCCTTGGGGGGGCAGCACCAACCTGAGAACAGCAATGCCACCTTCAGCTTCAGCCTGGGAGGCAGTGCCTTGTTCAGCCCGGGGGAACTCTTCCGTAGAGGAGGAGACCAGTTTTGAACCATTGAATCCCCAAGGTCTGATGTGGCCCGTGGAAGACAAGCATCTTGCTTTCATCCTGAATCCCCAGCATGCGGCGCAGCTGGTCCCAGAGTCGTGGTGGAGATCACAAAATCGCCAAACGAAGGAATGAGAGCCACACACAGGCTTGCTTCCTTGGTTTGTTTGGTGGCTTTTCGTTTGTTTGGTTTGGTTGTTGAGACAGGGTCTCACTAGGTAGCCCTGGCTGTCCTGGAACTCACTCTGTAGACCAGGCTGGCCTCCAACACAGAGATCCGCCTGCCTCTGCCTTCCAAGTGCTGGGATGAAAGGCGTGTACTACCATGCCCAGCTCGCACACAGGCTTTTGAAGCCAATAAAATTGTGTGCAAAATGTGCGTGGGTGTTTCATGTGGTACACAGGGGTTTGCTGGGTACAAGCCCAGAGGACCCATCAGATCTCTCCAAGGGGACTGTGACCTAAAGGGACATTTGTGAGACTTGCCTGTCCACAGCTGGTGTTTATGCGGCAAACATTTCAGTGCAGTGCTGAGTGAACATAAACCACTTCCTGTGCAAGGAGTCTACCAGCCCTGTGGACACCAATGCCCTGGAAGCAGGCGACTGTGTCCCTGAGACCCAGCTGCAAAAGCAAGGACCACATTCAGCCATTGAACAAGAAATGGCCTGAGTCCTGGTTCTTGGACTCACTCTTAGGACAGCGGGCAAAAATAGGGCAGGGACTGGATATGCCTCCCCACTGTTCAAAGTGTTTTCTAGGTTACTCTCCCAGAAAAGCTGAAGAGCAGAGAAATCTAGGGGGAAGAGGAGTCTATCAGCTTCCCATAAGGCAGTGCTTAGCCAGCTGCTGGGGACGCTCAGGTCTTGCTTCCTGATGTTTCCAGAAGACAGCACCCCAGGCAGACAGAAGAGTTGAGTCACCTGGGTGGCTGAGTAGGAGGCCCAAGTTCAGAGTCAAATTCCGGCTGTGCAGTCACACTCACCTTGCAGCTCTGAGGTCTAGCTCAGCCACCCCCAGTGGCTGGGTAAAGTCTAGGACGGAAAGGCGTGGAGAGCGTCACTATAAGGATAGCGCACTCCTGCCGGTTTCCTGGCACCGTCTTGGCTATCCTGGGCTGTTCTGTCCCCATGAGAGCAGCTACAGCCTGCGGAAAGGGCCATTGGCCAGGGGAGGGAGCAGAACCCTAAGAGGTCATGTCTGGAGCAGAAAACCAGTCCCGAGCCCAGATAAATCCCGCGGTGGAATCTCTGAGGAGCCCTTGGTAGCCCCGGCCGCCTCCTCAAAGCTGAAGATTCACCAGAGAGCCTGTTAAATCCAAGTGCCCTGGTCCGCTCCCCCACAGTGTCTATCTGGCAAAGTTCTGGTCGTTTATTTACGGGTTCTGCCAAGGGCGACTGGCCATGGAGAGACCACACTCAGATTGCTGTTTTCCGAGGGGGCAGTGCACAGGGTTCTATCGCGCCCCCTTGTGGCAAGTCGTGGGAAGCCTGGGAAACGAAAGGGAATGGGACTCAGCCCCACCCACCACTCCCACCTCGCAGAGTCTGTGTTTTACAAATCCAAGTTCTGTGACTAAACAGAGACCATCTAATAAAAAAGAAGTATACATGTGTGTAAATAGGCGGGCCCAGCTCGCTACTGAGAGCGGGTGCTGCTGAGGCAGGGGATAGGCGGCACTGATAAGCCCCAAAGGCCTCATGTGAGCAGGACTCCAAATGACGAGCTGAGTGAACAGAGCTGAGGGCCGGCCTGTCTCAGGGCAGCTTAGGGGGGCCACTCCTTTTGGCAGCCTGGGCCTGGCCGGACTGTCGTGGGGGCTGTCTGCAGCTGCCGGAGGCTCGCTGCTCATCTTCCACGGATACCCTCCGGTGACCTTGCCTGGAGAGTCTTCCCAGTCCTGTCTGGATGCACCTGCCTGTTCATCACGTCCTCCAGGAGCCACGGCACAGTTACCGCAGCCTCTAAAAGCCGGCCTCGGGATAACCACTCGCCCTCCTGCAGTTTGGTGTGGACAACGGGGTCTTAAAGAGCGCACAGAGCCTCTGGACCAATCTGAGCTTGGACTCTGTCCCTTATCACTGTGGAGGGGAAGGACCTGGGGAGAGTTTACCTCTCGGAGCCTTGGTTTCCTTGTGTGTGCCATGAAACCGATTCTGGAACTTCAGAGAAGCGCTCAAGGCAGTAGTGGTCGGCGTGCAGCTCCCATCATGGAAGCTCCTGGCATGGACTCATTGGCTGCGTGTTAGCGGGTCATTTAACCCTTCCCGTGGTTCCGATGGAGCACAAGTGTGCAACCCATGCTTGTGACCACAAACTGGGTGGCTTGAGACTGTATCCCTCTTCCAGTTCCAGGGCAGAAGGTCTGAAGTCCGGTGTGGGCAGGACTGCTCCTTCTGAAAGCTCTGCGCTACTTTTCAGCTTCCAGAATTGACGGCGATCCGCCGCGATCTCTGCTTGTGGCTGTGTTACCCCAGGCTCTACAACTCAACCCACACCCCGGAGCTGTTGAGGCCATGACACCCCCCACAGTCACGAGGACATGGGGCATCTTCACTGTGGAGCGGCAGGTTTCCTCAGCCTTGGACTAAAAGCCTTCCTAATCGGTTGTGTCTTCCAGGGTGTTCAGACTTGCACCTCTTAGATATGCTGACCCCGACCGAGAGGAAACGGCAAGGCTACATCCATGAACTCATTGTCACAGAGGAGAACTACGTGAACGACCTGCAGTTGGTCACAGAGGTACCAGCAGCCCTGGAAGCCTGGGGGTGACAGGGGGTGGCCCCGCAGTGTGTGGGGCTGGAGGGGTGGAGGCTTATGTCCTGACTCTGAGCCTGGGGCAGTCTCTGGTATATGAGGGATATCTGAATAGCAAATGACACAAGGGTCTTACCCAGGAGGGGAGATGGTCACATTTTTTCCCATAGGGCCACCCTGTGAGTCAGAGAGGCAGCTCGCACCCAGGGCCAAGGCCAAGAGCACACAGGTCCCAAACTAATGACTAATGGAGTGGCTTGTGTGGGCTGTGACTTGGGACTCTTGGCTCCAATTAGAGAAGTTTTGGGGTCAGCCACCAATTGATTGATGCCCTCAAGTCACATGACATCCCTGACCTGAGCACAGAAGCTAGCTGCAAGTCTCTTGAGTTATTTCTAGTGCCCCCATAAACTCCTGAGAAAATCTACCACTATGGCTGAGCATGAAGGTATGTTCTCTCATGGCTCCACGAGACTGCTGGCCTGGGATGGGCTACCCTTGTGGGTAGTCAGTGAAGGCCTTGGCACTCTGTCTGAAAGGATGGGGTGACGGAGTTTGTAATAAAACCTGCTAAGAGAAGACGGCTTTTTACCCGTGCACAGTGAGAGTCACCATGTCAGGAAGTAGGTTTGCGGAGCTGGACCTGAGGGTCACCTTCAATGTGAAAGGTCCTGTCATAGTTTGTAAGCCTGTACCCCAGCAAACGGCATGAAACTGTGATGTCCATCCACACATCCAGGAGCGATAGTGTTCAGGTGCTTGATGTGACTGGAGTTTTGGGCGAAAACGCTAACCCACAAGGGTTTCCCAATTGTGTTGTCTCAAGACATCTGCCTGCTATTAAGTATGTGGTCAAAGTGTGTAGGGTTTGCATGTCACCCACTTAGATGTGGCATCCTGTGTGGGCACTAACCAGTTCACCATCAGATTAATGACTCGTGCAGAATAAGGCTCCCAAGGATCCAGACAAACTGTCCCTGTGTCCAAAGAACTTTCCAAGGAGCCTCTGCCCCAAATGCTAAGGACTGCCTTGTGGGTAAGGGGCTCGATCACATGGAGTCTGCACCGAGATCTGTGGTTAGCTGTGAGCTATGCACCCACCCACCCAGAGCCTGGGAAGGGCCTGTTTCTTTGACAGAGCCCAGGAAGAGGATGGCATCGTCCCCTCAACACCACCTGCTTCAAGCCCCGTGCTAGCCTTGAGCTTGCTTCCCTCAGAATGCCCGTGGCTTGTCTGGGTGTAAAGAAGGGGTCACACATCTCCACAGGCATCCTCAAACTCCCATGTCCTGCTGGGCCCCTTCCTCATAGTGGGCAGGTGAGGCAGCACCCTGGCAGCATGCTGGTCCATGAGCCTCCTGGCTACCTGTTGGTGGAGCTAAGTCTCCTCCTCCTCCTCCTCCTCCTCCTCCTCCTCCTCCTCCTCCTCCGGGCTCCCCTGGTCAAACACTTGTCCCCCCCCAGGAGAAAGTGCAGTCTGAGTCCACTCCCTTATGCTAAACAAACCTGAGTGTGCAGGTACATGTGAATGTGTGTGTGTGTGTGTGTGTGTGTGTGTGTGTGTGTGTGTGTGTGTGTGTACGTGTGTGTGCTGAGCTAACCGTTTGCTTTCTGAACGGCTTCGTTTTCTACACCTGTAGATCTTTCAGAAACCGCTGATGGAGTCTGAGCTGCTGACAGAGAAAGAGGTTGCTATGATTTTTGTTAACTGGAAGGAGCTGATTATGTGTAATATCAAATTGCTGAAGTAAGCCTTTTCCTCTCTAACCTCCATGGCATGTGCACCAGCGTCTCTGTGTGGTCCATCTGTCCCTCACGCATGCCACCCTGTGTCTCTTTCTGCCCCCACCCCACCCCAGCTCATTGCCTCTCAAAGTGCCGTCACCTCTCGTGCTCTCTTTCCTTCTGGAAATACACTACAGGTTCCTCACAGCGGGGAGGGAACTGCCTCTGCGGGTTCCTGCCCTGACTACAGGTGCAGGATTTTCTGAGCTGAGAAGATCTGGCTCCTGGTCATTGGCTGGCTCCATCCTTGGGGGTGGAGCAGTTCTAGCCCCAGGGCCTAACCTTCGACCTGGATTCCCAGCAGTGATTGTCTTTTGAAGCTCTGGGCTGCAGATGGTGTGTGGAATGCTACCCACCAAACACAAGAAGTACCTCAGGAGGGTCCCTGCGGCTGTCTGAGGCCACTTATACTTTATACCTGTTTAGTGCGCTGAGACTGCTGCAGGGCCAGAGCTAAGGGACATGGGTTTAGACCTCACCTCTTTGGGCCTCAGTTTCCCCATCTATACACTTAGAGGATTGAATCAGACCATAAAGATTCCCTCAATTATTTTTGTTTGTTTATTTTGTTTGTTTTTTTCGAGACAGGTTTTGGTAGACCAGGCTGGCCTCGAACTCACAGAGATCCACCTGGCTCTGCCTCCCAAGTGCTGGGATTAAAGGCGTGTGCCACCACCACCCGGCAGATTCCCTCAATTCTTTAAAAACAAAATCAAAACCATCAGAACCCCAAATCTATGTCACAAGGCCTTATGAATGACGTCACTTACTAGAGAGCAGACTAAGTTCTGGTCCCCAGGGTATAGGACATGGCGGTTGGGAGCAGGAGCCTCCCCCTCTGTGACTGAGCACTCCGGACAGTTTTCCAGATGTCCCTGTTCACTCCTGGTCGCTATGTTGGGGTCACCGGGAAGCCCCTGTGTAAAGCGGCTTCAGGTCTCTGGGTCTGTAACAGGAGTGACTGGGGAGATGGAGCCCGGAGGCGTAGAGAAGTGAGCGTGAAGGAGTAAGCGTGGCGTCTGCTCCCTCCGCACCTAGGCTCACGCTGGGGAAGCTTTGGGTGCACAGGTGGGGTGGCCGACCCTTGGGCTCACATCTCACTGTTATCTTCTGGCTGTATGTCTTTGGTTGGGTGGCTTTATGGTCAGTCTCTGGGCCGCTGTGTCCACATCTGTAAAATAGCAATTTTATTATTCTTTTCTGTGGCTATAACAAAAAACCTGAGGCTATCTTCTCCCTGAATGAAGAAAAAAATGTTTATTTAGCACACCAGCCTTTAGGTGAAGGCCTCATGGCAGATAATACCCTGACGGCTGGGGGCAGATAAGGAAGAGGTCAGGTAGCAGGCCAGGACACCAGAGATTGGGGGGTCTGACTTGTTCTTTCTTCCTTCCTTTCTTTCTTTCTTTCTTTCTTTCTTTTTTAGATTTATTTCTTTATTATGTATACAGTGTTCTGCCTGAATGTATTCATGCATACCAGAAGAGGGCGCCAGATCTCATTATAGGTGGTTGTGAGCCACCATGTGGTTGCTGGGAATTGAACTCAGGACCTCTGGAAGAGCAGTCAGTGCTCTTAACCTCTGAGCCATCTCTCGAGCCCCGTGGCTTGCTCTTTTGGAACAGCTTTCTCTAAAAGGAATTAACCAGGGTCCTAAGAGACCCTTCAAAGGACACTCCGCACGGTCCAGAGTGATGTACAGCAGCCATGCTTTTGGTCTTGAATGAATGAATCTATTAAATATATAGCAAGCCAAGGCAAATGAATAAAGAGCCAGAGGCAGGTAGATACTTAGAAAGGAGAGATGGGGTGACAAAACCTCACGAAAACAGGTGATCATGATATCTTAGCAGAAACCAGCTGAGGAAGCCCTATTGAGGCCAGCTGGAGTTCTGGATACTGCCTAGAGCCGAGTGTCCCCTCTGGTGAGACTTCCAAGAACAAACAACAGATAGAGCCGACATCACAACATCATCAAATTGGACTCCCACAACATCCAGGAAAACTGACCGGGGACGCCGAGGCGGCAGCTGGAGTTCCCCTCCTGCGGCAGTCACTTTTAGACCTCGGGAGGAACAGTAGTGACCTCTGTGGGAGGTGGTTCACCTCCTGGCTGTCCTCAGGGGCACAGTGTTTACTCTGGGCTGTTTGGCCTCCCTGCCACAGAGTTAGGGGTCCAGCCACACCCCGAGACAAGCGGTCTTGAGGAAGACTTTGAGACAAACATACCTGGGTCTGAAATGGGGGGGGCCAATCTTGTTTTCAGGTCAACTTCTCAGGGAGTTTACACAGGACAGTTTATCAATATAACGCACATTACAAACAGTCGTGCACCTGACGATCCGACTGCCTGCGAAAGGCTCCACCACCTCAATGTTATCCCAAGCTCCCAGGACCGGGTCTTTGTGGGAGTGCTCAAACCACGCCCAGGTCATACAACAATGCCTATGCCTTCATATTCCAGAGGCCTTCACACCACATGCTCCTGGTTCACACTCAGTACAGAGAGTGGGCCCTGAGCCCAGGGGAGAGGCTGAGTATTCACCGTGTTTGGAGGGAAGCTGCCTGCCACCTGGGAATAACGGCTCTTTATCCCCGAACCTACGAGCATTGAACATGAAGGATTGGATGGTTTGAAAATAGACATCAGCATTGTCTGTTAAAGACATACATATAGGGAGATGTTGCAAGTGGAGGGATGTGGTCTCTATCCTGACACCCACAGAAAAACCAGATGTGGAAGCATGGACCTAGAATACCAGAGCTGGGGGACAGAGACGGGAGAATCCCTGGGACACTCTGATGTGCCTGTCAGTCTAGCTGAATCAGTGAGCTTCAGTGAGAGGCCTTGTCCCAAGAAATAAGCTGGAGAGAGGTAGAGGAGGACACTTGGTGTGTCTGGCCTTCACATGTGTGTGCCGAGACTCGGTGAGGGCATTCCACGCGTTCTGCCTTCCCTCGTAGGAAGAGTGTCCGGAGTCACAAGTCCTTTGTTTTTCCTTTCACCTTGTTCACGGCAGCTTCCTCAGGCAGGTGACTCTCTTAGTCATGACCAAAGCATTTGGGGAGGAAAGGGTTTATTTGGCTTACACTTCAGCATTGCTGCTCATCACTGAAGCCAGTCAGGACAGGAACTCAAACAGGGCAGGAACCCGGAGGCAGGAGCTGATGCAGAGGCCACGGAGGGGTGCTGCTTACTGGCTTGCTCACCATGGCTTGTTCAGCCTGCCTTCTTATAGAACCCAGGACCACCAGCCCAGGGACGGCACCCACCACCCACCATGGGCTGCGCCCTCCCCAATCAATCACTAATTAAGAAAATGGCCTACAGGCTTGCCTACAGCCCGATATTATGAAGGCATTTTCTTAATTGAGGCTCCCTCCTCTCAGGTGACGTCAGCTTGTGTCAAGTTGACATAAAACTATCCAACACAGTTGTCCTCCAGAATCTGATGAGAGACCGTGTTGCTGAAGACCACACATATCTGAGTCACAGGACAGAGAAATCAAGCTGGTACCGATCCACAAGCTCCATCCCTGCTGGCTAGCTTGCAGAGTGCCAGAAGGTTCTATCTAACGGTACTGGGGAGAAGAGTAAGCAACAGTCTTACCCAGCCTTGAACCCTGTGAGCCATGGTAGTGACGACCTGGAAAAGAATGTGTTCAGTGTGTGGGAAGCATTAATAGATGCTAGGACACCGACTGTCCCTGTCCACTCAGTCTGTGGACATCCAACAGAGCCACGGATGTATCATCAGCCATTAGTGAACGCTCTGTGAGTTGAATGTTCTTAGCTGACCACTCCCCACTGTGGCTCAAGGCCTCTCATGTGCAGATCTTTCTATGAGGTAGCTGCTCACCAGAGGGCCTAGTACTTACTCTCGGGGCTGTGGTTAGGACAACTGACTCACTGGATCACCCTCTACTTCACATGCCTGGCCTATGCCGTAGAACATTCTAGAAAGAGACTCTCAATTGAGCCAAGTAGGTGCTAAAGCCAGGCCATGATTTCAAGCTGGCTTCCTGGTTAGACAGCTTGATTCTATCAGGGTGACAGACTAGATTATCAGGACCCGGACATTGACAACACCCTGAGACGGTGACTGTGAACACAGGAGCTTCACCTCCCAGGTCCACCTTTTCTCGTCTTCCCCCGTTATTTAAGGAGGAGGAAGAGGGGGAAAGCCCTTGTATAATCCTCCCAGAAAAGCTGCTTTCGAGGAAACTATGGACTGAGGGGTCTTGGCAGTTCATAACATGGTTGTTCATTTCTCAACCTCCAAAATTGCCAGTGGCTAATGCTTGAGCAGTTCTTCAGGGACGCTCCACACCAACCCTCCAGAGTCCTTTGGACCCTCCTGAGGACACAGAGCTGCTGTTCTCACGCCCTGGGTGGCCATTGCCGACCTGCCCCATGGGCGCATGCGCTAGAAGGGAGATTGCCGATCACTTAAGTGACCTGTTGTCTCCCAAGTTCCCTTGGTTGGAAGACAAGGAAAATTTCTTCACCTGGAAAAAAAAATGTGAGAGAAAGGAAAGCAAGTGGCCTGATGTTTTAAAGTTGGAGACTTGGGTTGTGGAACCTCTTTGGGATTGCTTAGCCTTATCCACATCTCATGGTTTCTCCTATGTGGCCATGAAAGTACTCACAAGAATTCACAGGGACACCTCCCAGCCTTGTGTTGAAATCATGTACACCACCATCCACCCACCCACCCACTCATCCACCCCCTGTCATCATGAGGGCTGTTGAACACTCAGTCTCACATGTGGTCTTGTCCCAGCTGTATATTGCTGTCCTTGCCATGTAGAAGTTGAGCATCTTCCATGTGCTGATAAGACTGCACACTTCAGGGTTGGAAGGAAGGGTGCCCCGTCCGGCTGCCGTGGCCCTGAACACTGCATGCAGAGGGTAGACCCAGAACAGACACTCCCCTGTCCCTTCAGCAGCTTTTCCCAGCTTTCAGGATAGAAACTGTTTGAGCTCATTTTTTTTCGTGATTATTTACCTAGTCAGCTTAATTAGACACATCAATGGAGCCATGGGCAGGAGAAGTACTTCCTGTGATCATTTTTATCCAACTTTGGGAAACTTTGAGAAACATGATGAGATTTTGTTTGTGGCAATGGATTTGAAAACTTGTCTCTCCTTCCCCTGTGACGTTAACTTCCCTCAGAAGATGAGGGTCCCAGGAATGGGCACACTGCTCAGACTGAACCAGCCTTGGACTTTCACGGCAGATAATGCATGCTGTGGGACAGCAACAAGGGACCCTCTCTGAGTTATTAAAGAAAGAAGGCAGGTGTAGCAAGCAGCCACCATGCTGAAGAAAACCACCCAGGCGATCTCTCTCTGTCATGCTAGACTCATGTCTTTCTCTGTCCCTTGTCTCCCAAATAGATGCTTTAGTGGCGCTCGGGTCTGTGACCCTCACACCCACTCCATTTCTCTGCAACCTGGAAGTGTGGGGTGTTGTCAGACAGGGTGAAGGCGGGCAACTCACCTCCCATGTTCCCATGCAGAGCGCTGAGAGTCCGCAAGAAGATGTCCGGAGAGAAGATGCCCGTGAAGATGATCGGTGACATCTTGAGCGCCCAGCTGCCACACATGCAGCCCTACATCCGCTTCTGCAGCTGCCAGCTCAATGGGGCAGCCCTCATCCAGCAGAAGACTGATGGGGCTCCGGACTTCAAGGAGTTCGTCAAAGTAAGGAAGCCAGTGTCGTCTTGATGTGTCAGGGGTTCATCAAAAGTCCGAAAGCATCTTTCCAGTAAAGGCCGCTGGGGATGCATGGAAGTCTCGAGTGGTGGTATGCTTGGACAGGAGAGCTGGACAGAGAGGTTTGGAAGCTTTGAAATATCTTCTGGGATAGGCTTTCCAGGTGTCCGGGGTATTTGGAGAGCTGTGTCTAACTCCTTCATTTCATTTTCTTGGCCCGTGTGATGGGGGCCCTTAAGTTAGCATCAGTATTCCCAGCTCTCTGCACAGAGGCAACACCCAGGGACCCCATAGCCCCTGCACCCTGGTTTTGGCTTGCTTCCTGCTACTGTGATAGAACACTTTGATCAAAGGGGAAGGAAAGAGTTTATTTGGCTTATAGGTTATAGTCCGTCGTCGTCGAGGGGAACCAGGGCAGGAGCTCTGGAGGCAGAAGCTGAAGGTCTTAGGGGAAAACAGCTCCCTGGCTTGCACTGTGGCTCCAATTCAGCCGCTTTCCTTACCCAGCCCAGGCCCACCTTCTTAGGGATTGTGCTGGCCAGAGTGCACTGAGCCCTTCGACACCAATTAGCAATTAAAAAATGTCCCTCAGCTGAGGTTTCCTACGTCCATGTGTGCCAAGCTCAGCCTTCCAAACTCCTTTCCAGTGGGAGGTCACGATGGGCTTGAGCTCTGGGCAGCCCGTGGGACTCAGTATGACATGCCACAGGCCTGGTGTAGGGCTAGCAGGGTCTAGAGAGCCACATCCACCAGGGGACATTTGTGGAGCTGGTGCCAAGGCTGCTAGAGGTCTCTGCCTTGGTGCTGCTCAGAGCGGGTCCCTTCGGAGTCACAACAGGTACTCAAACAAAATTTACCTCTCTCAGAAAAAAGACAAAAGAAAACAGGTATCTCTTGCTAAATAAGCAGCAAGTCTTTGTGCCCCCAGGCTTTTTGGGGGGGTGGGGGGGTCATTCTCACCTCAGGAATCCTGCTCCCTGAATTGTCACAGTGAGGTGACGTCTTGATCAGAGCCTCCATGTGCACAGTGTTCTTTGCTCTGCTCTGGTGTTTCTCTGCATCGAGTGCTTTGCTATGCGAGCCAGTGACTGAGGCATTCTGAGGAGAGCTGTGGTGGGAAAGAAGAGTGAGAAGTGAGCCACGGCTGAGGTGAAGACGGAGGGTAGATGCCAGGGTGCCAGCACCACAGGCTGCTGTAACCTCAGCCAAGAGCTCAGCTTCCGGCTATGGGTAGATGAGTCCTTCCCTGTTCCAGCGTCAAGGCGGGGGCTTGCTGGCCCTCTCCTCCTGTCTTCACCGCTGCTGCTTCGCTTGATAGGAGTTTGGTCTCCTAGGTTTCCAAACTGATGGTGAGCACAAATTGACACCAGGCCCAGGGGCTGATGGTTCAGGGTGCCAGAACCCCAGATGTCTGTGCCTAAGGCATCAAACTGGATCCCAGACATCTTTATCGCTGGCAGGCGAGGCGCTCCTCTTTGTGGTAGAAGAAGGACTCTTGTCCACTGGAGGGGTTGATAGAGTTGGCAAAGTGGTGGGAGGTTCGGTGGCTGGAGGATGGCTCAGAGTAGAGCGCTTGCTGGTCAAGCGTGAAGACCCGAGTGCCAGCCCCAGAAGGGAGGTGAGAACCAGCTCCCCAGAGTTGCCCTCTGACCTCCATGTGCACCCCCCACACACATGTGCACACACACACATACACAGACACACATAAACGCACAGGGACACACGCATGTACACACACACACACACACACACATACACAGACACACATAAACGCACAGGGACACACGCATGTGCACACACACATAACTAATAAATAAATGCCTTTTTTTTTTTTTTAAAGCGGTAAGAGGAAAGACACCAAGAGCCACTGGTGAGGAGATACTGCAGGGACCACCTGAGACTGGAGTCTCAGTCCTCAGGTCTCGGCTCCGCCATCCCGCCCTGCCTGGAGCTCCTTGAAGTCTGCGCAGGAGTTAGAAACACCTGAGAAACCAGATAATTTTATCAGTCCTTCTGGCTTCTCTGGCACCCAGTGGGGTTTTTACTCTCATTGAGTAGTATTTGGCCCTCCTGGGCCCCTGGGATATCTCAAAGGTTTTCAGACGTCTGGAAGAAATTCTTGAGCTAGAATCTCCTCTCAGGGAAGATAGACTGAGTCTGGAGGCAGGGTGTGGATAGGCCGCATCTGAAGGTCCCCGTCTGTCTTAGTCAGGGTTTCTCTTGCTGTGAAGAGACACGGTGACTACAGCAACTCTTAGAAAGGAAAACATTTCATTGGGTGGCAGCTTACAGTTTCAGAGGTTCAGTCCATTATCATCGTGGTGCCACATGGTGGGGTGAAGGCAGACATGGTGCTGGAGAAGGAGCTGAGAGTCCGACATCTTGATCCAAAGGCAACAGGAAGTGGTCTGTCTCACTGGGTGTGGCTTGAGCATATATGAGACCTCAAAGCCCACCTCCACAGTGACACACTTCCTCCAACAAGGCCACTCCTCCTAATAGTGCCGCTCCCTTTGGGGGGCATTTTCTTTCAAACCACCACACCACCCTGTCTCTGCCAATGGTGTCAGCCTGGACCATGACAGCTGGACAACGCCTTACAACTCCCAGTTCCTCCGTTACTATCCAGACGGATGGGTAATGGGCAAGGAGTCCTACATGACAAATGTAATGTAACTGATTGTGGATTTTGCAGATTTCTAAAGCACATTAAAAAAAAAATCTCCTCTTTCAGAGACTGGCAATGGACCCACGTTGCAAAGGGATGCCACTCTCCAGCTTTATCCTGAAACCTATGCAGCGCGTCACCAGATACCCACTGATCATTAAAAATGTGAGTACAGACACCTGTGCCTCTGCAGGCTGAGGGAGGCTGAAGGCAGCTGGAGGAAGCAAGAAGTGGCCGGAGGCAGGTGTGGATTTCCCAACCAGTGCACCTGGGGGTTGTCATGTGGAAGTCATGTGCCCACAGGGTGCCAAAACCATCTGCTTGGTAACTGGGAGGGAAAAGGTGGTTCTGAATGGAAAAGACTAATAAAACAGCCTTCAAATGGGTTCCAAGCCGGAGGACGAGAGTTCTGGCCTTGATGCCTCCCCATCAAGGCACGATGCCTCTGCATAGAGTTGGGAGGGACAGAGAGAGAGAAACATTCACCTGTCTTGGAAAAGCCATTTCCTGACGCTCCTCCCCAACCAAACACCTGTTTTCCTCCTGGCCTTTCAAGAAAGCCAGTTCCAGAGAAAACAGAATTAGCGGTTCAGTGTCCACACCCAGAAATGAGCAGCAGGCTGCCCTCTGAGCCTCAGGGCCAGAGGGGAAGGAAGCCTGGCTCCCCAGGGAGGTAGAAATTGCTTCCTTTATGTGAGAGTAGTATTCAGAAACCTAACTGTGGGAACAGGTGTGCTCACGGTTACTCTGGGACGTGGGTGCTCATACACACACACACACACACACACACACACACACGCTCGAGCACACATGCACACGACGTACACTTTGTGCATTTGTTCAGTCTTCCCGTGTGTAACCCATCTCCCTCCCACGTAAGCCTCAGCTCCATCCCACACCACACAGTAGCATATATTTCCCTGAGTTCATTCACCCGGGCAGTGTCTTCTCTCATAGCCCTCTATGTTTAATATGCACTGATGCTGGAAATAAGCCTTTGAAGTGGGTTTAACCAATAGGGAGAAAACCAAAAATCAGGAACCAAGAGGCCCAAACTTAAAGGAAAACACACACTAGCATACTAGAACACCGTTGTTACTGCTTTGTGGGGCATAAGAGAAAGACCCAAGAGCTGGCACAATGGAACAGAGATCAGGGCAAGTACGATAACTGAGCTTTTCAAAGATTTATTTTTACTTGCTGTGTGGGGTGCTGCCCACATGTATAGCTGCGTACCACATGCACGAAGTACCTTCAGAGACCAGAAGAGGGCAGTGGACCCCCTGGAACTGGAGTCACCGTTATTTTGTGAGTCGCCATGTTGAGAGCTGAGAATTGAACCAGGCCCTTTGGAAGGGCAGCCAGTGTTGAGCCACCTCCCCGGTCCCTAAGACTAAATGTTTTTATAATGGTGAGGGGAGGATTCTTAGCATGGCTCCAAAACAAGACTTTATTTAAACGTTTTTTATTTTGAGAGCAAGCGAGCCAGAGAGTGGCCGTGAGGGGGTGTGTGTGTGGGGGGGCATTGTCATGCACACACGTGAAAATCAGAGAACAATCTGATGTTCAGGAGTCATTTCTCTCCTTCCACCATGAGTTCGAGGGACTGAACTCCGCATGTCAGGCTTGCGTGGCGTGTGCGGAGAGGTCTGATAAACGGCGCTGGCGAGGCCACGGTCGCGACATGACCAGTGTTAGTTTTCAGAGCTTTATTAGGAGGGAAAGTGGGGAGGGGAGAGAGGAGAGCCAGGCCTGGAGAGAGAGAAAGATGGTGGGGTGGGGGGAGAGGGGAGCAGAGCAGAGCAGAGAACAGACAGGGAGGGTGGGGGTCTGTGTCCGGCTTTCTGAGGTGCATTGTGTGACCATGCGCACGTAGTCGCCAGCACACACTGATGACGTAAGACGTAAGACCCTGAACTGCGCATGTGCAGTCATGTAGCCGGAGTGAGGGCGGAATGCTAAGTGTATGTTCACCAATGAGCCATCCTCTGGCCCCCAAACCTAGAGTCAGAGCATTTTAAAAGAAAACTTTAATCCAGGACACACCCTCAGTAAGGAAAATCATTAAATAAACATGGTAGGTCTGTACCGTGAAGCTATTAAAACTGTTTCATTTCTGTTGCGCACCCCAGCCTGGGAAGCTATCCAGCCCGTCAAACAACCTGATAAAGGCAGTGCTGTTGGGTTTAGCTGCGAAAGGTCTGCTCAGGGTAAACAAACAAAAACAAAAACAAACCAACAAACAAATCATATTTGGGGGCTGGGGAGATGGCTCAGCCAGAAAAGCGCTTGGGGCCTCAGTATCCCTGTAAAAAGCAGGACATGGTAGCATATACCAGCACTGGGAGGCACTGATGGGGAGCCTAGCTGTTCTAACCTAATTGGTGAACCTCAGGTGCCATCCAAAGATTCTGTCTCACAAACAAGGAAGATGGTTCCTGAGGGATGTCACCTGAGGGTGCCCTCACTCACTAGAGAACACACATACGTACACATGTGTCCCCCACAACACACACAAAAAACATACCTCTTTGCTCAGGGGAACCATCTGAATTGATTTCCGGGATGCACAGGTGCATACAGACAGTTATGCATGTTCTCTAGGGGACGGGAGTGCATGGTGCACGCCACCACCCACCCTACCTTAAGGGGCCCTACGTACTTGTGAGTAGACCATCCATCCCTCACGAGTTAATGGGATTCTGTTCAGTTCCAACACCACGATTTCCTCCTTGGCTCCCTGGCGAGGGAGCCCGGGAAGAGCAGCTGCTGCCTGCCAGCAGGGAGGCCTGACTTCTGTTCCTGAGTTCCTTTCTTTGTGAAATGGAGTGAAGATTTTTGAAGAGAAATTCCGAGTCCCTCTGGTTGCCCTGTTCCGTATGCCACCTAAGGTCTAGGGTATCTTCGTGTGGTTTAGCGTTCATGCCGGGCATCAGAATTCTGCGGGGCAGGTCAAGGTTTGCTCTGGGGCGTTCAAGGGTATGAGGGTGGGCTAAAGGCTCAAGGGCGGGGCCGCCCGTAGTCTTCCGGCAGCACGTACAGCCCCCACTGCGCCCAAGGCTACTCTGGAGGCATTACCTCCGGGTAATGGCTATGGTGGGCACCGTGCAGGAAAGGAGGGCTTCCACGACGATGGAGCCAGGTCCATCGCGCTGTGGGAAGTGGCCTGACCAGGCCGTTGCTGCTGCTGTCCTTTGTTCTCCTACACAGATCCTAGAAAACACCCCTGAGAACCACCCCGACCACAGCCACTTGAAGCATGCCCTGGAGAAGGCAGAAGAGCTGTGTTCCCAGGTGAACGAGGGGGTGCGAGAGAAGGAGAACTCAGACCGGCTGGAGTGGATCCAAGCCCACGTGCAGTGTGAAGGCCTTTCGGAGGTAGCCGCCCGCTATCTGCTCGCCAGTACAACCAATGAGTGTTTTTAATTTCCATTACATCATTTTCCATTGCCGCCAAAAACTATTTATTTTTTCGAATGTCCTAGTTTTTTTTGTGTGTCTTGTTCTTGGTTCAAATGTTCGTGCTTCTTATTTGTTTCTTAACACACTTCAAGCACATTCATGTGTATTTCAATATCTTTTTTTAAAAAGGATTTATTTATTTGTTATGTACACAGAAGAGGGCGCCAGCTCTCATTACAGATGGTTGTGAGCCACCCTGTGGGTGCTGGGAATTGAACTCAGGACCTCTGGAAGAACAGTCCGTGCTCTTAACCTCTGAGCCATCTCTCCAGCCGGTATTTTAGTATCTTATAGTCTCCGTATCTAAGGGTCATATTCTTTTGCCTGTGGTTTCGGACAGCTCTCACTCAGCATGCCTTATTTTTCTATATGTACGTGATTTTTTTTTTTTCTGTACCAGCCGTCAGACCCAGGGCCTCTTGCATGATGGTTCGATACTAATTTACTGAGCCACACTCTCAGCTCCTATATTGTGAATTTTGACTGTGAACCAGTTGCTTTTGAAACTTCCCCTGTGTGTATCTTTGCTGCTCAGACTTGCATTTCCCCTGAGTGGCTGGCTCCCCAGGCCGCCCCGTGTTGTCCTTAGAGGGGATCTGGGGATCACATCGCACCAGTGTGAGAGATGCCCAGTGGCCACAGAGTCCAGGCAGCATGCTCGCTCCAATCTCCAAAGCGGAAACCAGCAGAGTTTCCCTGCTTAGTTCTCTGCACTTCGGTGTGTCCTTTACCCGTCCGGTCAGGAGAGCCATTGGTCCTTCACCTCAGCCTCGATCCACCTCTCTTCACCCAGCTGCCACAGTGGAGGCTGGGTGTCAGCGGGTCCACAGGGCGCTCAGGGCTGACGCTGCCTCTGGAGTTTGATCTTGGAATAATCTTGTTTTCATTCTGCTTTCTTCGAGGCTCTGCACATTTCCTCTCAGTTAACTTATTTTTTGACGCCTTTCATTTTAAAGGTGTTTTGTAGTTTGCTCTTTTTTAAAAGCTTGTGTTGACGGGTCATCTGGATTTCTAAGCCACGTGCTGGTCTTTGCTGATCTTCCACACTCTCACTGTTGCTCACGTTCACTTTTACTCTGCCTGTGTTTTCTCTGTGTTGGAGCACATGGGTGTGCAGACACATATGTGTACACTCATGCACACACGTATACGTACAGATTGCTAGAGTCTTCCAAAACGCCCAGAGAGAATGTGTCTCACTCACCATCCTTCCTCATGGTTTCTCACTCATGGGAGACCACCTTCACTGTGTCCTCCCCAAGCCCCACACCCTGCCCTCTTCAGGAAGGTGTGCCCCAGCTCATGAGCAGCCCTGCAGAAGCTCAAGTGGTGCCTGTGGGTCCTCCTCTTAGAACCCAAAGACAATCTTCCGCTGGCTGGCTCATTCGTTTATACAAGAAATCATTTCTTTTTCTTTCTTTCTTTTTGTTTTTTGAGACAGGGTTTACTGTGTAGCTTTGGTGCCTTTCCTGGAACTCACTCTGTAGCCCAGGCTGGCCTTGAACTCACAGAGATCCACCTGGTTCTGCCTCCCGAGTGCTGGGATTAAAGGCGTGCGCTGCCGCCGCAGCTGCTGCCACCGCCACCACCACCACCACCCGGCACAAGGAATCATTTCTTATCTGCTCCTATGTTATTGTTCAATAGTCAACCCCAAGTACATTTTAAAGAGAGAGAACGAAAGATTGGGATCCGTAGGGGCTCCAGAGCTGGCTCAGCAGTTGGGAGTTCTGACTGCTCTTGTAGAGGACACGGGGTTCAGTTTTGAGCACTCACAGGGTGCCTCACAACTACCTGTAACTCCAGTTCCAGGGGACGGGACACCCTCTTCTGGCTTCCACTGATCCCAGGCATGCCTGTGGTACACAGACACACGTTCAGGCAAAACACTCATCGCATTAAAAAAAAAAAAAAGCGTCTCCTACAAGAGATTATGATGCTGCTTTGTGCTTTTGCTAGGAGGCTAGAGATCAGTTTAGTCCTTCCTGCCCATCAAGAGAGCTCCTGTTGGCCTGTTGGCCTGTCAACATCAGCTTTCCAGGCTCCCTCAGAGCCTCGGCAGGGAGATTAGAAGTCCTCCATCCTTAGACCCAAAACTGAAGGAGAATAGACTCTCCTTGTCACCTCTAGGTCTCTGGTCACCAAATCACTGTTGTCTCCCACGTTGGAGGTGGACCAGCAGCCACCAGCATCTCTTTGGGGACATTTATTGTGAGGTCCATGGCCTCTCTCCAAATATTTTCCTCAGAGAAGTGTGTTTGTGATCATGATCTGGAGAGAAATTTTCTCTTGAGCAGATCACATAAGGTAACATGGGCCATGGGCTGGCCTGAGGGGACAGCCCCCGGGGAGATGCCAGGGCCACACATCAGCATTCACAGCTGTGACTCAGTGTTGGTGAGTGGAGGGAAGGGGCCATTCCCTTCAGTTTCTAAACTAGTAAGTGGGGGTGAGACTCAGCATGCACCACACTGTTGGGGAGGGTTTTGAGGGGTCACTTGGCTCCCCGAATTTTGCAGCCTCCCTGGTCCTGGGGTCTGGACTCTGCATCTGGGAAAGCAGCATCTGTCCATGAACTTAGACATGAATCCTGCCCCTTTCCAGACCACTGAGGACTATGTGAGACCTGTGGGGATTTCCTGTTGGAGCTGGTTCTTGCTGTTACTTGGGTGTAGCACCCCACATGGAGCAGATAGCCAAGAGGGGAGCTAGTGGGCCAGCTTTTTCCTGATGCCCCACTTCTCAGTAAATGAAGGGAGAGACACATTCACCACACCCTGAGATTAGAGCGAAGCCCCAGCAGAAAGGCGTTGAGAATTGAACCCGGAACCGTCCAGCCTTTGCCTTCTTGGCTTGGCCAGCTGCTGCCGGGAAGCCTCAGAACCATTCTTGTCTTGTACGTGGGATTCAGACCCCCGGGGGTCCAGCGTTCATACGTTGAGACCAAGAAACAAAAACAAGACTCCCTTCACCTCGCCTTCTCCCTGTCTGGTTGCCTTTTCTAGCAACTGGTGTTCAATTCGGTGACCAACTGCTTGGGGCCACGCAAGTTTCTGCACAGTGGGAAGCTGTACAAGGCCAAGAGCAACAAGGAGCTGTATGGCTTCCTCTTCAACGACTTCCTCCTGCTGACCCAAATCACAAAGCCCTTAGGCTCTTCCGGCACCGACAAAGTCTTCAGCCCCAAATCTAACCTGCAGTATAAAATGTACAAAACGGTAAGGTTCATGCCAGGCCGCAGAGAGAGGGAGTCTCCAAAGGAAGTCCGTTTCAGGAGGGTTTGGTACCGCGGTGTGGAGAAAGTGAAGGGGAGGAGCTAAGAGTAAGGGGGTGGGTCTAAGACAGTAAGGGGAGGGGCCGGGAGGAGGAGCTAAGAGTAAGGGGGTGGGTCTAAGACAGTAAGGGGAGGGGCCGGGAGGAGGAGCTAAGAGTAAGGGGTGGGTCTAAGACAGTAAGGGGAGGGGCCGGGAGGAGGAGCTAAGAGTAAGGGGTGGGTCTAAGACAGTAAGGGGAGGGGCCGGGAGGAGGAGCTAGGATAGAGTAAGGGGAGGAGCGGGCAAAGCAGAGGACTGTCCATGCCCCTCCTTTGTTCACACACTCCTACCGGGGGACCCCCACTGCCCATGTGACAGGCAAAAATCATGGCTCACTTCATACACGTGAACAGGCAACACGGCCACCCCAAGTACCCACTGCCCCTTCCACAACTGCCCCAGATGCCCTGACAAACTCTTCCCCTCTGTGCCCTTCCCTTTGGCTTCAACGTGTGGAAGGTTCCTCTGACAGAACGCTGAGTCCCGTGTATGCAGGACTGTGTTTGTGTGCTGTTACGCCGTGGGAGATTTATTTTCTCACTTCGTCTATGCAGGGGTGTCTTTCCTCAAGGGTTCTCATAGGAGCAGCGGTTAACTGTATTTGGGGAGACAGGGGTGTGATTGTGTGGAGCACTGATAGAGTCTTCGTATGGAAATCCCGGGAGAGACTCTCTTAGATGCTGACTGTTTGCCGTTTAGGATGCAATGCAGGGAGACAGACCAGTTAGGGCCTCCTTGTAAGGACTTTGAAGGTACCTATAAAGTGAACGTAGCTTTATAGAAATGTCAGTACTAATGGGGCTGGAGAAATGGCTCAGGGATTAGAAACGCTTGCTGCTCTTACAGAGGATCCGGGTTCAGTTCCCAACACCCACATGACTGCTCACAACCGTCTGTAACTCCGGCCCCAGGTGACTTGATCCCCTCTCTTCCAGCCTCTGTGGGCATTGCACACTTGGTGCACAACGTTCGTGCAAGCGAAACACCCTTATACATTAAAAAGTTAGTTTGAAGATACAATCTGTGTTCTGGTATAGTCTGTACACTGAGCCACACTCTCGAACACACAGCCTTCACCTAGGTTCCTGGGTCTCACTCACACACATGCACATGCTCAGTGTAGTTTACTGACATTCACAGCAGGCATGCACTCACATATATGCTCCTATCGCACACACAGAGCTTGGTGAACACACAGAGCCCCTGCTTTGTTCTGTAACACCTTTTATTTTTACTTTACAGCCTATTTTCTTAAATGAGGTTCTAGTAAAATTGCCCACCGACCCTTCTGGAGATGAACCCATCTTCCACATTTCCCACATCGACCGAGTCTACACCCTCCGAGCAGAGAGCATAAATGAAAGGTAAGCCCCGCCCCTCCCCAGTACAGGATGAGGGCCACTTGTCAGCATGCCCCAGCATGCCCAGCATGCCCCAGCATTCCCAGCATGCCCCAGCATGCCCAGCATGCCCCAGCATTTCCAGCATGCCCCAGCATTCCCAGCCGCAGTTCAACCACCTCTGTGTGCAGGCAAGGATTATACATACTACCTTTTAGAACTTCTCAAAAGTTGGACATCTGGCATGAGTTTTTCAAAATAAAATGAACTGAAATCAGCTTTGCTTGAGGATTTCTCTTCTCTTCTCTTCTCTTCTCTTCTCTTCTCTTCTCTTCTCTTCTCTTCTCTTCTCTTCTCTTCTCTTCTCTTCTCTCTCTCTCTCTCTCTCTTGAAATGTTCAGCAGCCTTTGAGGTATCCAGAGCTACTTAGATCACCCCAAGTTTCCCAGGAGATAGAAACCTACTGGACAGTGATTTGAGAGTAACCCCGCCCCCAGCACAGTGATTTGAGACTAACCCCACCCCCAGCACCCCAAGACAGTGATTTGAGACTAACCCCACCCCCAGTACCCCAAGACAGTGATTTGAGACTAACCCCGCCCCCAGTAGCCCAGGACAGTGATTTGAGACTAACCCCGCCCCCAGCGCCCCAGGACAGCAACCTGGGTCTCTGGGTTGCCGGCACTTTGCTTTAGTCTTATCTTAGACTATCCTGGAGCCAAATGGAACAGATCACTTTCTCAAGAGTGAGCTTGACACTAGGCCAACAACATTCCCAAGAATATTCGTGCCAGGCACGAAGATTGGCTAAAGTTACTGTGCATATGGCACCCAGAGAAAACCCGCTCGCCAAAGCGCCTCCCGCTGTGTGCTTTGCGGGAAGTGGTTCTTCCTTTGGGTGATTTTGAAAGAAAGACCCTCTGTCTTCGTGGGTCCGCCAAGTATGCGATGCTTTGTGGTGAGGGAGGAAGAGGAGCCGTGTGCCTATTCCTCCTCCAGCCTTTATTAGACTTTCTTCACAGGAAACATGAAGATCTTGAGTACATCCATTGCTTATGGGCAGGGCTGTGATTCGGGTAATAGAATGCTTGCCTCAAGTGCACAAAAGCCTAGGTTCAATTCCGAGCACCCCATAAACCAGTTACAGAAGAGTGTGTGCATGTAATCCCAGCACTCAGAAGGTGGAGGCAGGGAGAGGAGTTCAAGGTCATCCTTGATTACTTAGTGAGTTCACCACCAGCTTAGACTAACTAAACTGTATGAGAGCCTGCCTCAAAAAATAAATAAATAAAAATAAAAATTTAAAAAAGCCTTTCTTACTGATGATAGAGATAATTATTAGCATCATGTAGTAAGAATCAGTCTTTCACCGGGCGGTAGTGGCGCACGCCTTTAATCCCAGCACTCGGGAGGCAGAGCCAGGTGGATCTCTGTGAGTTCGAGGCCAGCCTGGACTACAGAGTGAGTTTCAGGAAAGGCGCAAAGCTACACAGAGAAACCCTGTCTCAAAAACCAGAAAAAAAAAGAAAAAGAAAAAGAAAAAAAGAATCAGTCTTTCTTTTCTGAGCCTTTGTTGTTAAATTCAAATAAACCAAGTTAAAAGAGTCCTGGAAACAGAATTTGAGCAGACCCCAAGCCCGTTCTGTTCTGAGTGGTCTGTTTGGCAACGTTCTGTCTTTTCCTGTCCAAGGACTGCCTGGGTGCAGAAAATCAAAGCGGCCTCTGAGCTCTACATAGAGACCGAGAAAAAGAAGCGCGAGAAGGCGTACCTGGGTAATGTGCCACTGAGCAGAGTGCATCGGGGCCCAAGGGACTGGGTGGGAGAGCCGCGGAGTCCATCCCGGCGTGGCTGGAACACGTGCATGCGCAGAAAAGGTGGGAGCAAGGTGGGGCGCTGGATGACGGCTGAAGGGCAGAATCCAAGAGCAAGAGGCAGGAGGGGGCTTTGCTTCCTAGCGGGGGCGGATGCACGGTACAGACTGTGGGCATGCTGCGGAGAGAAGGGCGTCAAAGCCAGTGTGAAACGAAGCATTCTGTGTTGTTTCCTTGCGGTCTAGTCCGTTCCCAGCGGGCAACCGGTATTGGAAGGTTGATGGTGAACGTTGTAGAAGGCATTGAACTGAAGCCCTGTCGATCCCATGGTAAGGGCCTTGAATTCCACTCAAGCACTCTAGAGTGTTGGGGTGTTTTCTGCCTCCCCCCACACACCCCTGACCAACTTGACATCATGTGTGCTATTTCTTGTGTAAATTTCCCCGCAGGTATTGATTTTTCTAGCACTTGCCAGAGAGCCATATATATATGTGTGTGTGTGTGTGTATATATGCACACATAATTTTTATAAATTCTTTTCCATTGTCTTGCTTTTCAGGGAGACCCGAGAGGCCTCATTCATAGTACATGTGACATACAGTACACATGGCACAGGTGAACAGATAGGGATCTGATTTCGAGCCTTGCTAATGGATTTGTTCTTCTAGATGTGATACTAAAATATGGGTGTGCCCACCAGATTTCCCACCTGTTAATCTCCAAGGTCGAGGGGGATGGAAATGAAATGTGTCCCACCTGGCAGGGGCTTTTGTTCACTCCAGGAAAGAGCAACCCATACTGTGAGGTGACCATGGGCTCTCAGTGCCACATCACCAAGACAATCCAGGACACACTGAACCCTAAGTGGAATTCCAACTGCCAGTTCTTCATCAGAGACCTGGAGCAGGAAGTTCTCTGCATCACGGTGTTCGAGAGGGACCAGTTCTCACCTGATGGTGAGTGGAAAATGGCCCTCGGGTCTCCCTTGGTCCTGCCCTACCATCTTTTAGGGGTCCATGCTTCCTTACCTGAGAACCCGAGCCCGGCAAAACTTGGGCTTTCCTGAGAGGCCAGGCTGGCGTGGTGCAGAAGCCGCTGGAGCTTGGGCTGGTCCGCTTTCCAACGCAGGCGGCTATGAGGAGGGGCGAGCCTAGGAACCTCCATGTACTTTGTTCGGTCTTCTGTCCTTGGCTATCACCAAGGCTCAGCAAGTAAAGGCACTTGCTGCCAAACCTGATGGTTTGAGTCTGATCCCTCAGACTGACGTAGCAGAAGGGAAAACTGACTCCTGTAAGTTGCCCTCTGACTCAACACATGCCATGGCGTGTGCATGTAAGCAAACACATACACACACAAGATAAGTGTGTAAATGTTTTAAAAAGCAATGAGATAGCCATACTTGGTGGGTCCCACCTATAATCCCAGCATTCAGGAGGCTGAGGCAGGAATTAGGAGTATGAAGTCAGCAGGGCTACGTAAGGAGACCCTGTTAAAAAAGTAAAAGACAGGGAATAAAGCTGGCTAGTGGAGCAAGAGGAGTGTTAGCCCACAATGGGTTCTTCAGAGTTAGCTGGTAGCCTACCGGAGACCTGAGAAGCTTCAGTTGTGTTGGACATAGCCTCCCTTCAAGCTGCTTTCTCTTTCTGGGGTGATTTTAGGCCAGTGAACCCAGAAAGCCACACTCTCTCAGCCAAATCAAAATCAGAGACTGAGTTTAAAGCTCAAAGTCTCAGTCATCATCAGAGGAACATGAATTGAGAGCCAGGGCCCGACACTGGCATTGTGTGGGCTGAGCTGAGAAGGCTCCATGAGGCTTTCATATCTTAGTACTTTTTAAAAAAAAAGTTAATTAATTAATTTATTTTTGCATCTCAATCACAGTTTCCCCTCCCTCTTAGTACTTTTTTTTCTTTTTCCAAGATAGGGTTTCTCTGTGTAATCACCCTGGATATCCTGGAACTCACTCTGTAGACCAGGCTGGCCTCGAACTCACAGAGATCTGCCTGCCTCTGCCTCCCAAGTGCTGGGATTAAAGCCTGCCCGGCCCTCTTAGTACTTTTTAATATAATTTATCTCGTATGAGTTATGCCCTGTCAGTTTGCCAGTGACAGCCTTGCAGCTGCTTACACATCAGAATGTGACCAGAACACCGTGTCTAGGAGCTCTGGGGTCTCAGCTACTGTGCTGTATTATCAACCTCTACCCTACTAAGTCAAAGTTTGAAATAAGAATTAAAAAAAAAGAAGTACAGTCAGTTGTGGTGGTGCACACCTTTAATCCCAGCACTCAGGAGACAGAGGCAGAAGGATCTCTGTGAGTTCGAGGCCAGCCTGGTCTACAGAGCAAGTTCAGGACAGCCAGGGCTATATACAGAGACCCTATCTCAAAACAAACAAACAAATTAAGTACATATATATTATGTGTGTGAATGTATGTCATGTGTATGTGTGTATGTCGTGAATGTAGGTACCTGTGGAGTCCAGAAGAGGGCGTCAGAACCCTTGGAGCTAGCAGTACAGGCTGTTGTAAGCTACTCCATGTGGGTACTTGGCAACTGAATCTCAGGTCCTCTGGAAGAGCAGCATCTCCCTCTGTCTCTCTGTCTCTCTGTCTCTCTGTCTCTGTCTCTCTCTCTCTCTCTCTCTCTCTCGTGTGTGTGTGTGTGTGTGTGTGTGTGTGTGTGTGTGTGTGTGTGTAAAACTTGGGTGTGATCACGAAGGAGCTGTCTACATTGTGTTTGAGGTAGACTATCTTATTGGCCAGGAGCTCACTGATTGGCTCAGATAGCTGTCCATCCTGTCTGTTTCTACCTCCTCAGTGTTGGGGTGACATGTCTACGCCACCATACATGGCTTTTTTTTTAAAAGAGGGTTTCATGTAGCCCAGGCTGGCCTCAAGCCAGTTTGAATCTCAGGCTAATGTGTTCTAGATAAGCACTGTACCGGGTTACCCCTCTAGCTCCTTGCCCAGCTCTAAAAACAGTGTATGTGTTTTTGCCTATGTGAGTTTGTGTGCTCCACATGCATGAAGGAGCCCATGGGAACCAGAAGAGGGCGTTGGATCCCATGGAATTGGAGTTACAAGTGATTGTGAGCCACCATGTGGGTGCTGGGAACCGAACTCAGGTCCTTCCTCTGGAAGGGAAGCATATGCTCTTAACTCCTGAGCCATCTCTCCAGCCCATCTCTGGTTTTCTTTTTAAATATGGACCCTGGGGATCAAATTTATGTCCTTGTGCCTGCAAGGCAAGTGTTTTTACTGACTGGTCCATCTCCTTGACCCTATTAATATATTTTAAAAATATACGCAGAAAATATTCTATTGGTGGATTATCGCAATAAATGTATATAATATGTAACAATAAATCAGGGTAGTTGGTATACCCACCATCTTGGATATATTTTGTTTTATTGAGAATGTTTAAAAACCTTCTTTGTTTTGTTTTTTTTTTTTTTTTTAGCAGTGAAATATCATGGCACATTGACAACTCCATGGGGAAGTCAATTGGAAAGGCTCACACTGGTCTTCTCAGTGGTCTTTGAAGAGGTGGAGCCTGGCCACGCCCTAGAGAGTCCCAGTGTCATGAGTGTGCCCCTAGGAGATTGGGATCTCCTTCTGAGCATGCTTTGCTTTTTCTCCTTTTAGATTTTTTGGGTCGGACAGAGATCCGAGTGGCTGACATCAAGAAAGACCAGGGCTCCAAAGGGCCCGTTACGAAGTGTCTCCTGCTGCACGAGGTTCCCACGGGAGAGATTGTGGTCCGCCTTGACCTGCAATTATTTGATGAGCCATAGCAGCCCTGGGATGATCATAGAGGACTCCCTTCTCTCAAGGCCCCACTTGCTGTCTGGTGGTCAGCCACGGGCCAACGGGGACAGCATGGACAGAAGCCCCTCAGGGCTACTAGAAGTAGTTCTCGACAATCCTGCCCTTCAAACCATGTCCCATTTTATGAATCCAAATTCCCCTTTCCTTTGTCTTCACTACAGGTCTCATAATGGCTTCTAGAGTCTCTGAAATCCATGACCTTCAACTAGGTTCCTTTGGGAGCCCGGCTCCGTCCCTGGGCTGGAGGTGTGGGTCTGGTTACGATAAAACAGATTTATAAATGCAGTGACAGTGTTTTGGAGAACTTGTGTAGGCCTCCTGTTTCTCACCTCTACCAGCCCCTTCATAGACTACCTGGCCGATGATGCCCCGTGCGTGGTGTGTTTAGTCCGATTGTGAAGGAATCGTTGCTGCTTTGCAGTCCAGCTCCCCCTGGGAAATGGGGCCCTGGACTGAATGCTGGGCATAATGGCTCCTGGAGCAGACACTGACTTCGCTCTCTGGAGAGCTGTTACCGGAAGTTTCTCAAGTGTGCATTGGAAGCTGCTCAGACCTCAACTAGTGTCTATCAGTGAAAAGGCACTGGTGTACTATGGGGTGGTTCAAGGTGTGCTTAGAGAATGGTTCTGCAAGCTCATCCGTGACGTTCTGTCCTGATGCGTTAGGTCTACTTTGGGTCACTGGGAAGGCTCAAGGACATTATGGAGTCCTGGTTGCTGACTATTATCAGAACATTCTCTCTGGGCTTGGAGGCCCTGTGATATTCCATGAGGAGCCCTGTCTGGTGACCAGCCTGAGCTGATTCTGTGTTTGAATGTACTGGATCCTGACTGTTGTGGGAAACTTCAACAGCAAGCAGTCTTTAGTGGTCACCCCAGGAAGTCATGCCTTAGATGGATGAAGTTTGAAAGAGAAAGGATTCAGGATGGAGTTGGGAGGTGTGGAGAGATGCTAAGAAAATCCATTACTTGGTGGTGGCAGGGAAGACCTTGGGAACACGTGAGCCCCACACATGGGGTAGGAAGATGGGAAACCCTTCCCAAGCTTTCCTGGGCACACACCAACTTCTTAATAATAGAAACACATGAACTTTTTTTTGCCAGAGTCAGGAGTGTGTAGACCAAGCTTTTTGTTTGAATGCTTCAGGTTTTCTTTTCCTTAAGTGCTAAGAGATAGGTTGGTTAACTACGTAACTTGATTTGCTAATGACAAGTGTGGGCCAAGTTTTGTTCCTATGTTGACATTCTCACACTCCCAGTCTGTGGTCATGATGTGTCCTTTGCATGTCTCTGGATCCTGGGGCCAGGCTTTCCTGTGGTAGGTGGTGGTCTTTTTTACTGTAGATCCCCAGGATCGAACTAGGGTTCTAGAAGTATTTTATAAATGATAGTGTCTCTGTGGCAGAATAGCCACTCTGCTGACAACTGAATGCTTCGTGTGATCTCCTTCCAAAAGGTCTCTCTCTGTCCATGTATGTGTTTCAAGTGATTTTTCAAAAAACGTATGTGGGAAACGACAACAAAGTTTACATTTCATACTTTTGAGAAACACTTATTATTTATTTATTGAAGATAGTGTTGACTTTTGTATCAAGAACAACAGACATACCTATTTTTTTGAATCACACCAATAAGCTCTTCAGTTAGCAGCTTTCAACTGAACATGAGATAGACTTAGTTTAACTTCAGGCATGCATTGGCTTACCACTTCCCAGCAGAAAACACTGTCAAAACACTTCATGTTTGTGTTTTTTTGTGTTATTAAGAGAGTGTTTTAAATGAAACATATAAATAGATTTGTAGCTCATGCTTCCCTGTTTCTTTAACCAGGAGGCTTTGCTTGGTGTATTGCTGAAGGACACGTTCCCATAGTGTGAAAAAGAAGTATTCAGTTGCAATTGGCCAGGGTTGGGTCCCCCTTCCAGCCCCTTCCTTTCTGTCCCTTAGCCCTGTTCTCCTCATTGACTTTCTTTTCAGGTTAACGTTGAACATCAGTGTTCCCGTAGGAAGGCTGAGGCATGCGTGGTGACCCCCGTAGGTTCTAGGTTGCTTACTCGTAGAATTCCATGATTATAGCACGAAAATGCAGTCTGTGGGTCTTTTCCCCAGGTGACTCTACTGGACATCCTTGGGGTTGTCCTGGGGGTTGACAAATATGGATTAGTGTCCTTGTATCTACTGTTGTCATTTGTCATGACTGGTTGTACTTCTGGATGAGTTGGGCTGACCCTCAGACCCAGCTGTGACTCCAGAGTCCTGCTGGGGAGATGGAGTGCTGCTGTGACCCGTGGGTGACACAGAATCTCAAACCCTTGATTCTTGACTCCTTAACTTCTCTTTGAACAGTCAGACTCCATTTGATACGAATGGCGTGTCCTTGCCAACAAAGGTGTCTGAGTCCCAGCCGCTTGCTTTATGAATGCTTGCCCAGGCTATGCCTCCTGGCATCCTGGGCTAGCCCCTCAAACACGCCCCCTCCCAGAGGCATTCCTCTTCTATGAGCCACACTGCCAGTACCTCCCACACTCTGACCTCTCCCTCAGAGGGGGCTTTCCTAGAAAGTGGCTATGCTCTGGTCCTGAGAATTATCCTGAGAACTCTGAGGACCGAAGCTCCTTCACTGGGCTTTCCTCGTGGACCATTGTCCCAAAGGGTCAATTCTGGTCTCTGAGGCAGGGCTGATATTTTGTCCCCCTAGCAAGTGGATAGATAACTTTATCTCTTGGGACTAGTTTGCCGTGTCCACAAGAGTTTGGAGACATATGTGATTCGTTCAGATCCAGGTCTGCCCTAGCCAGAACAAAAGAGATCTTTCTAGACTGGAGTCACCAGGAGTGCTAGAGAAACTGGGCAAGGATGCCATCGTCAACTGTTTGTATAATATGTCCCTATCCGTGGACAGCAAACAAGAAAGCTCTCTCCCCAAAGAACATTAATGGGAAATGGGCATTTTCCTTCCTTGTTTTGAGACAGGATCTCACCGCATAGCCCAAGCTGGCCTTGAACTTAGGATCCTCCTGTCTCAGCCTCCTACGTGCTGGAATTACAAGCATGTGCCACTGTGCTCAGCTGTCTTCATATTTATAAACAAAAATATGACTTCGGTATATAAGGATTTCATCTGGGAGAATTGACCTGAACTTAACTGGAAAAACCAAATCCAAGAGAAACGGGATCAGTGGATCCCTCCCATTGCTTGCTACATTTTTGTTTGCTTGCTTGTTTTTCGAGACAGGGTTTCTCTGTGTAGCCCTGGCTGTCTGTCCTAGAACTCACTCTGTAGTCCGTCAGTGTGTCCAGGAGGTCAAGGGCATTTGTAAAGGTCATTGCAGGTTGGTCTTCCTAGGGGGTGCAGCAGTGACCTCCCAGAGTTGGCTGGGCAGGAGTAGAGCTAGTGACCTCATAGAGTCCAGGATGTTCCAGAATCCCGTGAGTCTGAAATCAAGGGCGGATGGATGGGGTCTCCCTGGCTTTATTTGAAAGGTGAAGTACTTCAGCTGGCTGAGACCATAGCCAAGAGACAAAGAGGATCTGTACACCAAGGAATTATTTTCTAGCCCTTCCGGCCTTTCGATGCTTAGAAGAGGCTGGAAGTGTGATGGAGTCTTTTAGTCTGCATTTCCTTTCAGGATCCAGGTGTGCTCTGGAGCTGGGATCCCCGCTTCCGCCCTCTCGTTCCTGGAGCGGCCCCACGGGCCTGAATTCTTGTGTTTTCCTTTATTTCCATCTGGTCTCTCCAAAGACACATTGACAATGACATTTCTGGGCACGCTGTACTGGTTAGGCTTCTGTTCTCAGACAGACCTCGGGGCAGAAGTTGCCTTGTACCAGTGGTGGGCACTTCTTTAGAAGAGCCCCGACCTTACTGGACGAGTAGGAAGCAAGAAGTCCCAGTGTGGGTACTAAAGATGCCAGTCTGTCTACCCCTCCCCCTCCTGGGCACTTAAGTTCCCTTAAGGAGGACCAGGGCTTGACCTTTTCCAACTACATTGATTGCCTACCTGCCGAGGGTCCCTACCTGCAGGGGGGTGGGACAGGGATGCAAGGTCCATGGGGCCAGGGTGATGCTGGAAAGCAGAAGAAAAAAGGAGGGGAGAAAGAAGGACGGACAGAAGGAAGGGAGGAGAGAGGAGGGAGGAGGAAGACAAGAGAGGAGGGAGGAGGGAGAGGGGAGGAGGGGGAAAGGCCAGGCAGTCAAAAGAGATCTTTCAGCAGGCTCCCCCAGCTCTTTGAGCACGTGGCCTCTCCGGCTCTGAAGGGCCGGTGAGAGCTGGCTGGAGGTTAGTGGCTCACCCACGGCCACATCCTTCTTTAGGAGTTAAAGGACCACATCTTTGGAGAAGAGCCTGGCGATCCCTGCCACCCCTCCTGCCAGGCAGTCATATTTCTGAAGATGTGATAGCCCCGCTCTCTTTGTCACGGAGGCTTCTACCTCCAGGGCAGCAGCCTTCTGAGGGGCAAGTTCTCTTGACCCCCTTTGGGCATTTTATTGTATTCTGAATGACCCCATTAGTGAACGTTGCCCTGTGATGGGCCAGTCTAGGAAATAATAAAGACTTCCTGTTAGTTTTGACTTGGAATAAACAACTGGCTGGTCGCCACAGGGATTCTTCTCTCCAGTTCCCTGATACCTGGAAAGCAGTTGTTAGAGCTAGAGGAGGAAGTTCTAGAGGCCCCTTCCCCACAAGGCACTGCACGAGGTCCCTGTTTGTAGGTCTCCAGGATCAACTAAGATGTGTAATAACTTCATCTCCGTAAGAGCCAGGAAAGACTCTGTCCTTGAGAAGCACAGCCCATGAGAAAGATGGCCACGGTCTCAGCTTCTCTAACTCGAGAGCCTTACCATTCAGATGGCGGCACCCTGGGCAGTCTGTAGTCAGGAGCACGAACACGGTCAGCAACGCTGACGGTGTGTGGTTCCTTCAGGGCTCCCCCATCCTGTCCAGGCTACCCCTTAGGGGCTGGGAGGCAGAGAAGCCAACTTTGTGGCTTTCAAGCCAGCTTGTAGATCTAATTTTAAGTCATTTCAATAACATAAAATTCACGTTCAGTGGCTGGGGAGATGGCCCGGTCAGCAAAATGCTCGCCGCCGTGCATGTCTGAGGACCTGAGTTTGATCCCCAGCGTCCGCGTAAAAAAGCCAGGAGCAGCAGCGTGTCCTGGTAAGCCCAGTGCTGGGAAGGCCGAGACAAGAGGGTTCTTGGGTTAGTCCCTAGCGGCGTGAGTGAGCGATCCGGTCTTAAAGGAAAAGGTGCAGAGCTGTGGGGAAGACATTCAGGGTTGATATCTGGGCTCCATGCGCACGGGCTCCTGAACTTACATATGCGCATGTGCACACACGCACGCACGCACGCACGCAGGGCCGGAAGCATTAGTGTTCACCTCCAAATAACGACTTCGGTTCTACGTAGACTTAACTAGTTCCTTCATTAAAAGGAGCTAGTCTTTTATATTTTGGCATATCGCTCTTCCAGCACCGTGTGTGGCTATCCTGTTTCAGGGTAACGTGCCCCTGTGCTGTGCCAGGTCCTTTATATTTAATACCATTCTGTTCCGTGTTCTGGACCAGCCTGGATTCTCACTGTCATCACAGTGGTGAGTGTTTTAGTGTTCAAAGTCCACCGAGGAGAGCTGCATTCATAGTGGACTTATTCTGTCAGCCTTCAAAATACCGAGCGTCCCTCTGGGATTTCTGGAGAGCTGGTCAGGCACCAAGGCTCCTTTTTATGCCATGGAGATGCCTCTTTCCCGCGGGAGCCGTCTTAAACTTATCATTTGCAAGATTACCGTCCTGTGGTTTTCTGCCTCTACAGCTATACTCTTTTGCCGTTCTCTCCTCAAACTCAGATTTCTTATTTCCTCCTGTTCTTGGTGAAAACAGAGTGGGGACCCCAGAAAAATAGGAGCCAAAGTCTGTGTGGTGGCTCGCGTGGCAGAAGCTGCCTTTCCTGTTTGCAGTTTCCCCAGGGTCCTGCTGTTCCTAGACGGTTCGATGGGCAGGCCCCAAGGTGCTGGCGTCCCCTGCTGCCACCTAGCAGTATTGCTCCTGTGTGGCGCAGAAGGAACTCTAGTGAGAGGGCAGAGAAAGGGCTGAAGCCTGGCAGGTGAGCGCTCTAGCGCTCGCCCAGCTGAGCGTTGAGTGATGGAAGTTAGCATGAACCCAGAGCTGGGCTTCTAGTGAGGTGGTATTCCTGCCTGCTGGGGCTGGGGCTGTCCAGAGGTCCCTTCTCGACTTCCCTACCTTTTCTGTGTCTACTTCAGAGGGGAGCTTGGCAATTCCGTTCTCCACAGAAAAGGGCTGGCCGCCTGAGGGACTCCTAGGAGTCATGTGGCAGTACTCAGTTGGATAGCAGAGTGTCTACCCCAAAACTTCAACTTGGGATATTTTAAGTGGCAAACGTTGGTGAGATGCAGCCACTGGTTGCATGGTGTGTGTCTGTGAGCAAGCGTGTATGTGTGTGTATCAGGCAATGGGGAGGGTTGCGAGTCCGACTGAAGGAGACGGGAAATGTGGTGCTCCACCCTTCCCGGCGCTGGATTCAGGACCAGCCGGTAATGTGTGGGCCGAGTGTGAAAATAAACATTGTGACTTCTCTATTCCAAACGACTGGGGATCTCAGTGACAGAGAGCGAGAACTGAGCTGAGTCTGGGTCCTGCTGAGTGTGGGCATGCACCTGTCCAGGCCCAACACCCTGGGCCTGGCCTTGACTACACTGTACATGTGGAATGGCTTCTCTGTGTCTCCTTTCTTTGGAAAGGTCTCCCTGGCAGACTGTGCAGAGCTGGGGTGGTAACACCATCCCTCCTTTCTTTCCGGCTCCCTTCCTTTTTTTTTTTTTCTTTTCTTTTATCTTCTTTGCAGTGCCAAGGATCAAAGCCTCATGCATGCTTAGGAAGTGAAATATTTTTTCAACACACCCTTCTTTTATCTCCTAAAAGTACAAACAGTCCGGGATAATTAGAGCGCACAGAACCCCAGCTCACAATTGCAAGCACCCCTGAATGGACAGGGAGTTCTGGTTGATGCTTTCTCAGGTCCCGGTCCAGGGTGTGTCACTGGATATCAGGCAGCCTTTGAGCCTTCAAAGTCGAATTCTCTGCTTTGAAATAAAGCCTGTCCCCTAGTCACCCACCAGGGAATGCTCTCCCTGTCTCTAGCGTCACACAGGATTCTAAACTACTTTCATGGAGGAGATCACAGAAGGGTGAGTGTCCCTGCCCCCAGTGACTGGATGCTGATTCCTCTAGCTACCATTCTCTGGAGAGGAGGAGTGGTTGGAGCCAGGAGCCTCTCTGTCCTAGAGGCCAAGTGCCCTCACACGCTAATCCCCCTTGTGGCTTATGCGTGGCTTTTGGGTGACGTTAGCGAAGAGGAAAGTGTCCACTGTGTGTGTAACCTCTGAGTTCTAGACGACCAGGGCTCCAGGGAGGCCACGGCTCTGGAGCTGCCCCTCATCACCGTGTGTGTTCTGGTGTATAGCTCTCATTGTACTGGATGCTCCAAGCCCTCTGAGGCTCCGTTTGCTTTTTGCAGATGTAGTTCCATGTCTACACACGCAGAGCAATAATCCTTACCGAGCTTCCTGGTTCCACTCCTGTAATCCCAGCGCTCCAGAGATGGAGGCAGGAGGATCAGGAACTTAAGATCAACCTCAGCTATAGACGAGTTCAAGGCTAGCTGGGCTTCATGAGACCCTATCTCAAACCTAAAAGACACAAAAACTGACAGAAGGCCCCATCCGTCATGGACTTAAGTCACCTTAAAGGAAAGCAAATTCTTTCCATGGGCCACACTCCCTGGAGGCATCTGAGCACTACTGTGTCAGCATCCATTTAATGAACGTTTTGAAATGCACTTCATCAATTAACATCCTTAAACCGTGACTTGCTGAATATTCGCAGTGTCGGAACATTCTCGAGAGGTCTCAATGGTCAGACATGCATTTAAGTGAGCATCCGCTGTTAATGGCCCCAGGTCTCTGGTCCACGCAGCCCACCAGCTGAAGCTGCGCCCTTGCCTCTGAGCACAGCCCCGCATACAGGGGTGGGCTCACAGTCGCCGTGTCGTACTGTCTTAGCTCTTCATCTTCGCACCATCACACGTGCTGATGGGGAACGTAGGTCTACATACCTGTACAGAGGTGAGAGACCACCACAAAATGACCTGGGTCTGATAGTCAGCTCAGAGCTCCTAAGGTTTCTGCATCTTATGCAGTTTCCAACAAAGAAAAAGAAATCCACTACATAATGTGAAAAGATTGTGCTCTGTATGTGGTTCGTCATGAAATCTCTGCTGTATGTTTTTGGGAATGACGATTATATGTATATACAGTCTGTAAGAGGCTATGCTGTTCAATGTTGCGTAAACTTAACAGATTCTCTAGTCTGAATATTTAACTTGTTATTGTAAAATGTGATTTCTCATTGAGAGATTATTTTTCTGTATGTATATGAGAGTATTTTAGGAATCTAATTTAAGTGCATAAACTATAGAAGAAGCTTAAAAACATATTCCGGGACTAGATATGCTTGATCAGATCACTTGGGTTCAACTCAACTAAATTTTATTAAAAAACAAATCCAAGTTGAATGTTTAGGAATTCAAAAGTGTGAGATTTTTTTTTCTTCTGCCTTGCAGGGGATACGGTGTCAATGAAGTGGGTGGAGGCGTGATAAAAAGGAAGGGACCCTGCAGCCATGACCTGGGATGAGGCCATGTTACATGATAGGTTGCCTCATACAGATGGCATATTCTGAAGAGTGGTGCACAGCCCGCCTTGAGACAGACCTGGTGCATAGACCATGGGCTCCAGTCAGGAATGCGGTCAGAGAATTCAGGAGCATTCAGGGAGACCATCAGCTTTCCTCACCATTGCAGAGGGGTGGGGAGGCTGAGCCTGGGTCTTCTAGGCTCAGTTGTTTGCAGGCAGGGTGAACTTCCTGGAGGCCTAGGCTGAAGCAAGAACCTGCCTTCTATTTTCCACTCCCTTCCCAGAAAAAAATCAGGAGTTCAGGCTGCTTCTGAGCACCGCCGGTATAGACCACCAAGAATGGTCCTTCAGGTGACCCAGGAAGGGTTTGTGAAACTCAGTGTCTAACCTCTCCCCTCTGGCCCCTGCTTCTCGAGAGAGCATCTGCAAGTGACTTTAGTTAGTGGTGACCCCGAGTTCAAGCTTCCCCACCTGATCAGAAATGCCTCTCGATTAAGAGCGGGTTTCTGGTGACTCAGGTGCATACTGATTGATCACTGCAGGAAGTCTAGGGTCCGTTTTAAAGGACAAGCAGGAGTGTGTGCTGGGCCAGTACTTCCACCAGTAAGTTGTGCCTCTGGATACTGCCAGCTTTCTATCTTAGTAACTCCACACTGGTGGATGCTGGAGTCAAGCGATGTCCTGCCCGCAGAGGTTCGGGCAGCTTTCCTGCAGGATGCTTTCTGGACTCTGCTAAGGCTAGAAATGACGGTGTTCTGTAGCCACCTCTAGTCCCAAAGATGGGGCCACTTAGCTGTTCTCAGATGTAGCCCGGGAAGGCCATGTCAGGCTAGCGTGCAGAACCACACAATTTCTGGCTTCTTTGTCCTCATAGACCCTGTTCCTTCCCTCCTGGAATGATACCCCTTGGGCTGGGGTGGCCATGGGTTGTGAGGATAAACCAGCCAGACAACTGTCCCTTGTCCTGGGTGTTTTAAATCTGTAGACAAAAGAACACAGGGCCCTCCCCACGGCATTGGGGAGGTTAGCCTTTGTGATCTCTGTAGTGGGCTACAATACTGGTAGCCTGCAGCTCCTTCAGAGTTTTGCCCAGGGCAGAACTAAGCACTCCCCCGATGGATGTCCTGTTCATTGTAATATGTACCTGTTGCTAAGTAACAGTATTTTTCATGGAAGGATTATATTGTCTGTTTTATAACATTAATGGAGTTCTAAAGATTATTAGACATTATAAATTATAGAATTCCACATTTGTGTAAGGTTTGCTGAAGCAGGGTCACACAAGCTTCCTTCCTGTTTGTTTAAAAGCAGGTTTTTCTGTTACTTATTTTTTGATGTCTGAATACTCCTTGACACCTTATTCTGTGTGAAATGTTGTTTTACCAATCCAGATCACAGCAGCTGGGCACTGTCTACTTTCTCTGCTCCAGTGGCAGCGTTGGTAGGCATCGCCAGGCCCGAGCATCTCGTTCCTTGGTCATTTTGACCTGTGTGGTTTAAATCACATAGTTGGTGAATAAAACAAGAACAGCCAGCTTCACTACCTCGGATCGCCATTTTGAGCTTTCTTCTTCCGCTTCTTTGCTGACACACAGGACGCTAACAGCCCTGAAAATGAGTGTCTCTCCCTGAGTTTACTTCCCAGAGATAAGGTTGTAGTTATACAAGAAAAAGGATGTAAAAATAAATCTAGAAAACGAAACATGGCAGCTGCCATCTTTTCAATTCTCCTGTGTCCTCAGATAGTTACCTCTGTGGAGACAGACTCCTTGTGTTGAGTATTCCTGAGAACATGAGAAATTCTACATTGTATAGCTGAGAAATGCCAAGAATAGTTAGTGGTGCGAAGAAGCCTAGCCAGCCCGAGAGGAGAGGCAAACCCACAGATCACTCCCTAGAGATATTCTGCAGGAGAGGGTTTTGCTTTTTGGACAGGGTCACACATAGCTATCTATGATTGGTCTTAACTCCTGATCCCCCTGCCTCACACCCCAAGATTGAGGTTTTAGGCATGCAGAACTGGCTTCAGTGTTAAACTTGCAATGGCCTTCATGCGCTGTCTTCTGTGGACCCAGCGTAGGACGTTACGTGTGTGGAATAGTTCACACACATTGTGCCATACACAAGGGCTGTTCAGTTGCACACCTCAGACCTTCCAAGTTTTGTTGGCTTTCTTCCCCATCAGCCCTTGTCTTCCACAGTGTGGTTTTGAGGGCCATTTGGCTATACCTTTGTTTACCCTAATTTAAGAACCACACACACACACACACACACACACACAAATTAAAAAATTTTTATCTTTAATTATGTGGTGGTGAGGGGCAGGTATGTACACACAAGTGCACCTTGCCTGCAGAGGCTGGTGTTGGGTCTCCTGGAGCTGGAGTTAGAGGTGTTTGTGAGCTGCCTGATGTGGATGTTGAATTAGAATTCAGGACTTCTGGAAGACCAATATGTGCTTTTCACCACTGAGCCATGGCTCTAGCTCTGTGGTGATATTTTGTTTTTTCTTGAGACAAGGTTTCTCTGGGTAGACCACACTGGCCTTGAACTCACAGAGATCCACCTGCCTCTGCCCCCGAATGCTGGATTAAACAGCTTTTGTTTTTTGTTTTTTTGAAGACAGGGTTTCTCGGTGTAGTTTTGGTGCCTGTCCTAGAACTCACTCTGTAGACCAGGCTGGCTTCAAACTCTGAGATCCACCTGCCTCTGCCTCCCGAGTGCTGGGATTAAAGGCATACACCATCACCGCTTGACCTTTGTTCTGCTTTTTGAGATAGGGTTTTGATACATATGCCAGGCTGAACTCAAAATTCATGACCTTCCCGCCTCAGTCATGGGTGCTGGTATTATGGGATGCACCACCACATCAGGCTGTTTGAAGATGTTAGGAAGGACTTCACTGTAAAGCTGGGTGTGGTGGCACATGCCTGAATCTCAGTACTTCAGAGGCACAGTCAAGGCTGCCTCAGACGCAGGTCCAGCCTCCTCTACAGAGATCCAGGCTCTTGTACTCTACAGCACAAAATTATCTCCGGCAACCTCACGAGGCAAAGCTTGTGTGCTGTACTGACAGGAAGGTGGCTGAGCTGGTTCTCAAGGATTGTGAGGTAATGCGTGTGAGCCTTGGAGTTCTAGTGTGTGTGAGGCTATCCCCGCCCTCAGGAGCAACTGGGAGGAAGGCAATGAGTCTCGGGAAGGTGGAGAATGGCAAGGTCACACTCAGCAGGAGAGAAGAGCCCAGCAGTGTGGGGTAGAGCCCAGCAGTGTGGGGTACAGCTTCAGCAACAGGGTTTGTTTCTCCCTGTGGTAAGGCCTGGGGGTCAATGGGAAAACTTGGCAGGGCGACAGCGTGGCAGGGCGGACAGCGTGGCAGGGCGACAGCGTGGTAGGGGGGACAGCGTGGTAAGGGGGACAGCGTGGCAGGGCGACAGCGTGGTAGGGGGGACAGCGTGGCAGGGTGACAGTGCCTTTGGCATCACTTTTGCTCCCACACTGGCTGCTCTGGATCCCGCCATCTCAACTGTTTCTGGTTGGAAGAAATCACCTGCAGACTGCCAGGCCGCCGCTGGTGAAGGGAACCTGGACCTGATACATTTCCTCTTCTCTGATTGCTAAGCTTAGCCCTGTGGTAAGGTACTTCAGAGGAGGCTGGCCAGCACAAGTCACTTGCTGTGATCCCAGGCTCACCAGCACGTCACAACTGCGATCAGGCCAACTAATCCTCTCAGCATTCTTGGCTCCTGGGAAAGCAGAGTCCTGAGTGCTCTCTGGTAGGTGGCTTGCTGGCATGATGGGCAGGCCGAGGGCACACGAGCCGTAGCGTGCAGCTAGTGGAGCCCTGGGACTTGTCCTGCCCTCTAGGACTTCCCAGCTGCCCTCTTTCGGAGGCATCTATCAGGAGCCCTCTGAGGAAGTAATCGGTCTGTTAGGCAAATGCTCTTGGGAGTGGCCCAGGAGGGGCTACTGGTCACCTGGAGAGCTCTGGCTTCTCCAGAGGCAAGCTTTGGGAAGAGCATGTGGGAGCTGTTTGGCTAAGGTGGATTGGGAGCATCTCAGGGACACTGTGAGAAGGGACATGGGGACATGTGTGTTAGCCTGGCTGGCTGGTGGCCGTGTGCCGTCTGTCACAAGAGGAACAAGCATGGAATGGAGACTGCAAACCAGACCCAGGGCCTCGCCACCACCCTACCAAGTTGTCACCCTACCTCGTGACCCTGAACAAACTGCAGGTGTAAAATGGGAGGGACCTGTTCTACTGTATCACAGGATTGCTAGATTTCCTACGAGGTGCCCAGTGTGGACTGGAAAGTTAGAGCGCCCTACAGTGAGGGGTTCTATGTGAGGATCTTCTCAGTGGGAGGCCTCCTTCAGACTGGTCAGATAGGGACCAGCTCTCAGCCACCCCTCAAGTGAGATTTTGGCAGGCAGGACCAGACTGTGTAGGTACAATGTTAATCAGGAATTCCTAAGAACACACACAGACCACGACCTCCAGCCCAAAGGCTTTCTAACCTGGAGACTAGGGGAACCTGCGGGGGATGAAGACGGCACCACAATCCCTTAAAGGACAAGAGACATGGCGCCCTCTTTTCAGGAAGCATTTATTGTTGCTCCAAGGACGAGAGCCCGTACGGTCGACACAGCCTTCAGAGCAAGTCCCGCATGGCCTTGCTGAGCTTCAGAATCTTGGACTTTGTGGACATATCGACGTATTTCTCCCCAATTCGGACAATCATCCCGCCCATGATTGACGGGTCAGTCTAGAAAAGGAAAGAGGTTGCAAATGTGAAAACACAGGATTCTCTCCTCAGTGGGTAGAAGAAAACCCCCCGAGAAGGCTCCCTACAACGGACAGGCCACCCAAACACAGATGGGAACTACGCAGGGATCAGA